TTCCTTTTTGAAAAATCCAGATGTCTGGTATCATGCAGACACTGGCTAAATCCTGTTTCCATCCTTCTTTTATTACTTTAATCCAAGACATAAGGGGAGAAAACAACATTTTCCCAGGGACTCATTCTATCTCTCCCATGTAGTTGGCCTAAAAATTCAAGGCCACTGAGGAGGAAAATATTCAGGAAGAAAACCATTTGCATTTGTGTGGGCTGTCTTGTCTGTAATTCAAATAATGAGGCTCTTGCAAAGATGAATTTGGGGGCAGCAGAGCCCAGGGTAGAAAAAGTTGTGAAAAGCTATAGTTTGCTCTTTTGCCAGGTAAAACTATCATTCTGTTCATCATTTAGCTATGACATATCTGGTGTTCGACAACCCTTAGTTTTCTCAACATGGATTAGCCACTTAATAGATGTGTTTAAGCTCAGCCTGGCTTCTTTCTTCCCTACTACCCAGTATTTTTCTGGGCTCTCTTGCCTTGATTAGTTCTCAGGGATAAGTACAGGGTTAGAGGCTAAACCTTGGATTTCATTGTATAGAGAATTCCTAGGCACTGAATTTCCCCTGACCAGTGCACTTTCTTGTGACTTATAGCTTTAGAGAGTTGCCTAGAACACGGGAAGTTGTGTCTTGCCCAGGGTTACTAAGGCAGAACTTACCAGAAACAGGTTTTGAGGCCCTGTATTCCTTGGCTTCTAGGCCAACTCTCTATGCATTAGGCCACAATGCTTCTCAATGAGCATTAATTTAAGTAGGAAATATATACAGCTTTTAATAAAGATCAATTTGTCCCTACCCTGTGATGTAATGCATTTTAACAACTACTAGAAATGATTTGTAGATCATTCATTGTTCTTCCATTATTCATATCGCTGGCCCTTTCATTAGCCTGAATAATGATAAACAGTCTGAGTTCTCAGAGTAAGTCATTTTCCTTCCCACTATTGCTCTTATCTGGAGAGGTTCCGTTTCCTCCAAGATTTTCTTTCCTGAGAGGAATAAATAAATTAAAAAGACAGCTTGATCACTCAGGTTCCTTTTGACATTGGGATAAAGTGGGGTGGGTGGGGAAGATTTCTCTCCCGTGGGAAACAAAGCAAGACCTTAATGACCATCTGTACATTTATCAGGGTGGTCTGTTTCTTGTATGTGTGTGTGTGTGTGTGTGTGTGTGTGTGTGGCGGGGGCGGGGGGGTGTTGGTCGCTTTGCTGATGCATTTCCCAGTGATTTATACGATTTGGAAGAATTGTCATTCAGACATAGCAGGATAGAGATCAGTTCTCGTAAAACAAGCTGGGGTTGGTGGTAGAGGTGAGCAAGTGGGAACAATGGGGATGGGATGGGGCTGTTCTTGGCCAATCAATCCCCTTACTGCTGATTCCAGGTTCAGACTGTTCAGTCCTTCCAGTCATTGGGAACAATCATTGCATCAAGAGAAATTTTTTTCCCCTTTCTTCACAGAAATGGCACAAATGAGAATGGATTAGTTTAAGGAAAGGAAAGTCTCTGTAAATATGTTCCTGGTCATTAGGATAACAATTCTAACTTATTAGAATTTATAGAGTTCATTAGAGTTTGTCAGGCACTTTAATTAATCCTCAGAACAACCCTGTGAGATGTGACTGTGTTTGTGTTTTATATTTGTTGTTCTCTGAGGTACCACCTCAAACCTATCAGATTGGCTAATATGACAGAAAAGGAAAATGACAAATGTTGGAGGGCATGTGGAAAAATTGGAACACTGATGCACTCTTGGTGGAATTGTGAATTGATACAACCATTTTGGAGAACAATTTGGAACTATACCCAAAGGGGTACAAAACTGTGCATATCCTTTGACCCAGGCAATACTACTATTAAAACCGTATGCCAAAGAGATCAAAGAAGAGGGAAAAGGTTCTATATGTACAAAAATATTTATATTTATACTTTGGTGGTGGCAAAGAATTGGAAATTGAAGAGATGCCCTTGAATTGGAGAATGGTTGAACAAGTTGTGGTATGTGATTGTGATAGAATACTACCGTGCTATACGAAATGGTGAGTTTAGTGATCTTAGAAAAATATGGGAAGACTTGCAGGAAATAATGAAGAGTGCAATGAGCTGATCCGAAAGAACATTGTATACAGTAACAGCAATATTATTTTAAGAATGACTTTGAGCAAATAAGTTATTTTGACTATCATAAATACCTAAATTAACTATAAAGGGCATGTGAAGAAAGATGCTATCTGCATCCAGAGAAAGAACTGATAAATAGAAGTATGTATACAGTAATTTTAAACACACACACACACACACACACACATATACACACACATATACATACACATACCTTTTTTACCTTCCTGAACACCTAGCACCATGCATGGCCCTTTCACAATTATAGGTTGCCTGGGTGCCCTGATCCATGGTTTTATTTTATTTTTTTATTTTTAAATTTATAGAATAAAACAAGAATTTCCATAGCATAATATAATAAAAATATGATTGCATATGAAACTGCAAATCTATTCTGTACAACTTGCTATTCCTTTAAAATGTATAATATTCGTGTACATTTTTCTCCTTCCCCCCCAGAGATGGACACAAATAGATACACATAATTATTCTATACATATTTCTATTTATCAGTTTTTTCTCTGGATCCAGATAGTGTTTTTCTTTATATGTGCTTTATAGTTGATTTGGGTATTTAAAATAGTCAAAATGACTCATTCACTCAAAGTCATTCTTAAAACAATATTGCTGTTACTATATGCAATGTTCTCTTGGTTCTTTTCATTTCACTCTTCATTATTTTGTACAAGTCTTTCCATGTTTTTCTAAGATCATCGAGCTCATCATTTCTTATAGCACCATAGAATTCCATCCCAATCATATACTACAACTTGTTCAGCCATTCCCCATTTGATGGGCATCCCTGCAATTTCCAGTTCTTTGCCATGTTTTTTATAAAATTGTGGCCTTGGTTGTAGAAGGGCTGTGGGGGATGGGAATATCGTGGTAGAAGATTCTTTTTGACTGACACACCTTAGAGACAGAACAAATGTAAAGGTATTTGTAGATCCCAAGTATTGAATTGGGTTCAACTAGACTTTAAAGTTTGGGACCCGCTGCTCTATGGCAGGAACTGGTTTAAGGTCCTTAATTAGAGCAGCTTCTTTTCAGCCCGGAGACACTTAGCTTTCTGTTCTATGTATCTTTTACTTGTCCAAGTCTCTAGAAACTTGGAAAAGCTCCAGAAGAGAACAATAAAGATGACTCTTGTCCTGCTAGAATAGAAATGAGTTGTTCTGAGACAAAGGGAATTCAATTAAGGTTTCCTGGACTATTAGTAGGAGTAGAGAAGTATGATTCACCAGTAACATAAATGTAGATAAACCATTGAAATGGAGGGAAATCAGCAGTGATTTTCTTTTTTCTGGGTGCTACAGAGGATTATTGTAAGGGTAGGAGTTGTGAATGCCAAAATCAAACCAGATTACATGTATGAGAAAGTGTTAACTTTTCCCGAATTAGCTCCCTTTTAGGACTATAATGTATAAATCTAGCAATATAATTTTTCTAAATAATTGCTAAGTCATCATTATGAATATCTTTTAGTAGTTTAGACAGGAAAAAGGTATTTCACTTCACCTCAAATAATGATTTCTTTTTTTGGAGGCAGTTGGGGTTAAATGACTAGCTCAGGGTCTCAGAACTAATAAGTATCTGAGGCCAAATTTGAACTCAGGTCCTCTGTGTTACATTTGTGACCAGTCCCATTGTGCATGAAGATGGGAGAAGTAAATGGAGACTATTTTTTTTTTTTATTGAGAAGTATTGTGGTCTCATGAATAATAAAAAAAAAAAAAACCTCAAGTTCAAGTCCCACTATCGACATATACTGTAGTGGTATGACTCTGGGCAAGTCACTTAATTAGTACTTTTGAACCTAGGCTTTGCTGACTCCCAGTTTTGCTCTTTAGCTATCACTCTGCACTGCCTCTCTTTACCTCACTTAATCTCTGTGTCCCAGGCAACTCCTTAATACTATAAGTGAGATAGGATGCTGACTTCTAGAGGCTGTTTTCTCATCTTGGAGATCCTTATGCCAATTCAATCACAGTCTTGATCCTGTCCCTAAGTTAAAATTATGATCCCCTAGAGAAAGCACTGGGCAATTAGGTAGCAATACTGAGTAGAGCACAGGGACTTGGCATCAAGAAAAGTCATCTTCCTGAGTTCAAATCTGGCCTCTGACACTTACTAGCTGTGTGACCCTGGACAGGTCATTTTACCCTGTTTGCCTCACTCTCCTTATCTGTAAAATGGGCTGGAGAAGGAAATGGCAAACCATTCCAGTATTTTTGCCAAGAAAACCCCAAACAGGGTCATGAAGAGTTGTACACTACTGAAAAATGACTGAACGAAAGGGAAAGCACTATCTCATTGGGGCCTGAAAACAACCTTGTTAAGCAGGTAGTGTGTTATCTCTATTTTGCAGATGAACAAACTGAATCTCAGGACATGATTATGAAGTGCCTACTTTGTGCAAGATGTGTTGTTAGGCTGCTAGGAATACAAAGATGAAGATTAAAAATCATCCCTGCCCTCAAAGGGTTCATTTTCTACTTGCTATGAACTGAAAAATACAGAGGATTCCCTAGTACTCTAGCTGAAAGAGTCTCAAGTCTCCAAAGAGCCCCTCCTAAAGTTTTAGGGCTTTTGAACAATTCATACCTAGGCTAGCGGAGTCTGATGCCAGCTATCAGGATGCAAGTTTTGATCTAAGTTTGTCTTAAGTGAAATTTTAAAATTATTTCTTATTGTTCATGTTGTTTGGAAACCTGACTGAAAATAAGCACAGTACACTCTTTAACTTTAACTGAATAGCTGTGTGGCTCTGGGCAAATCAATTAACCCTGATTGACCTCCTTCCAAAAAAAAAAAATAAAAAGGAAATGTAGCTTATGAAATCCTTGTTTTTAGTCATATATTTTTTTTTAAACAGCAAAGTGGACTTTATCAATATAAAGCCTTTGGTGATTTCAAGGATTGCCCTCCAACCCTCTGCGCAGATGTCTATATGGACTTAGAATATAGAAAACAATGGGATTCATATGTTAAAGGTGAGTGCAATATTCGGTTTACTTTAAAACCACTCCCCAAAATAATTTCCTCTCAACCACACTAATGAAAGCAAGCTTTTTTATATGTACGTATATACAATGGCAGATAAATCTAAGAACTATTTATGTTCACCCAGGGAATACAGTATATTTGATTTTTGAAGGGTGAGGTATCATTGTAAATTTATCTTTGTTTGGCTCAAATTTATATTTAAAAATGAGTATATCTTCTCTGAGAGCATGCTGGTTATTAAGGGATTGGAAGGGAGAGGAGAGAAGGGACATGTGGTTAGGGGGGAAACAGAAATATCCTATGCTGTAATCTAGATTGCTTTTGAAGACTTACAAGGTGAATTAAATTCAGTGGAGCACCTACTACCTGCAAGGTGTTGTGTTTGGGACTGGGAATTGAAAGACAAAAGAAAACAGAAAAAATTCCTACATTCTTAGTGCCTCTTCTCTTCTCTTTTCTCCTTTCTTTTTCTTTCTCTCCCTTTCCTTTCCTTCTTAGAAATTATGGATATAGGTATGCCTACTGTTATGTAGCAGTACTGCTTTTGTGTATAAATTGGATTAAATTTTAGTGTCTCTTGGTAGCTTCCTATGTAAAGGAAAGCCATAGTGAAGCTTCCTGTAAACCAAGTAAGTTTCCCTCTGATTCATATTCCCTAAATCTGGATTTTTATGTGGCAAGTTTGCTAAAGAGGCAGGGCACACTTGTATACTCTCCATATTCCTGACCCAGGGTCTCTCCATTTGCTTAGTGTTGGCCTGGGGTGAGCATTGTAGTGTTCAGTAAGCATGTAGGTGATTCTTTCCCAACAATTGAGGAGTCAAAGGCATGAAGGATGCCAGGAAAGTTTGGTATGGCCCTCTTCTGTAGCTTATGTGTTTCCAAACATGGCAAGTTTTAAAAGTATGGTCTTGTTTCGTGATTCCCGGGTTGCAAGAGTCACTGTGAGATGGGGTAACAGTTTTGAAACATCTTAAGGCATTAGATCAGATAAGCTGATTTACTATTAGCTCAGAAACCACATCATTTTAGCCTAAATCATAATAGGTTATTTAGAACTCTTAAACATTTTTTTTACTCAAGTTCTTGAACTGGGGATGTAGGACTGAAAGACGTTTCATTAGGTCTCCATTTAAGATTTGCAAATTGTTGTCTCCTCACATCTGTCTCTCTTTCTCTCTCTCTCTCCCTCTTTCTCTCTCTCTCTCTCTCTTTCTCTTTGTGTGTGTGTGTGTGTACACACATGCGTGCACGCACATGTGTGTTTTGCATGCAGATATATTTGGAGAAGAAAAATAGATAAGAAACCAGTAGACAGAGCACTGAATTGGAGTCAGGAAAACTTGGACTCAAATTCCACATCAGATACTAACTATGTGAGCCTGGGCAAGTCCTTAGCCTTTTGTGTGCCTCAGTTTTCTCATCTGTCAAATGAGAGGATTGGATTGAAGGGCCTTCCTAGCGTAACTTTAAGCTCCTTTCCAGACGTATTTCAATAAACAAGCATTTATCAACAAACACTATGTACTTTGCCTTGTGCTAAGTGCTGGGGATCCCTTACAACTCCAAATGTGTGGTTGTGTGATTTTATGAAGTTACTTTGATAGATCTGTGATCTCATTGAGGTGGGTACTCTCTCCATCATATCACATTACACCTTATCAAGTCCCTCTCATCCAGAATGACTCTTGCCCATGTCCTTCTGTGTATTTTCCATAGAGTATATAGGCTATCTAATGAAGGCTTTAATTATTTTGTGCGTAATTACATAGCCCTGGCTATCCATCTCTTATCTTTCTTTCTTCCGGAACAGCTAATCTTTTTCCTTTTCTGCTCAGCATCTCTGATGAAACCTGTTCTACAAATCATTATGGGTAATAAATGGCATTTCACATGCATTAATCATACCTATATCCAGTGCTCACTGGGTCACTGCAATTTTGATCCTTTTCTATTTTATTGGGTTTTTTTTTCATAAAGCCAGCTCCTAGTTTTATTAGTTCAGTATTTTTTACTTAATTTTTTTTTAACTTTTAGGACTTCCAATTTGCTATTTAATTAGGGATTTTTCTATTTTTTTTAAAAATTGCATGTCCAGTTCATTGATTTGCTCTTTCTCTTTTTTTATTTATATAAGTATTTAGAAACATAAAATTTCCTCTAACTACTCTTTGACTGCATCCCACAAAATTTGGTATGTTGTCTCATTATCATTCTCTTTAATGAAATTATTGATTGTTTCTATGATTTGTTCTTTGACCCACTCATTCTTTAGGATTAGGTTTAGTTTTCAATCAATTTTTAATCTATACTTCAAAGGCCTTTTATTGAATTTAATTTTTATTGCATTATGATCTGAGAAGGATACATTTAATATTTCTGCTTTTCTGCATTTGTTTGTGAGGTTTTAAAGCCCTAATACATAATCAATTTTTGTGAGAAAAACTGTGCATACCCTTTTACCAAACAAATCTTTTTATTAAGGGGATTTGTTCTGTGAAGTTTGGATTCAGTCAAAGGGCTGCACTTGAGGACCTAGAGGGCCACATGTGGCCTTAAGGCCACAGGTTCTCCACCTCTGGATTAGGCAATGAAGAGATGACTTTTGAGGTAACTTTTTGAGGAACTTTTGAGAGAGTCAATTCACTCAATAAAGAGATCAGAAGCAGAGTGCAGAGGTTTGTGAAGAGATTGAGAGAAGTGGAGACACTGGATATAGGTGACTTTTTCAAGAAGGTTAGCTGACCCTTTGATGCAGCAATACCACTTCTAGGTCAATATCCCAAAGAGATCATAAAAATGGGAAAAAGACTCACATGTACAAAAATATTTATAGCAGCTCTTTTTGTGGTGACAAAGAATTGGAAGTTGAGGGGATGCCCATCAATTACAGAATAGCTGAATAAATTGTGATATATGAATGTAATGGAATACTATTGTGTTAAAAGAAATGATGAGCAGGCAGACTTCAGAAAAACCTGGAAAGGCTTGTGTGAACTGATGCTGAGTGAAGTGAGCAGAAGCAGCAAAACGTTGTACACAGTAACAGCCACATTGTGTGATGACTAATATTGATAGACTTAACCCCTGTCAGCAATGCAAGGATCTAAGACATCTCCAAAGGCCTCATGATGGAAAATGCTACCCACATCCAAAGAAAGAACTATGGAGTTTCAATGCAGATCAAAGCATACTATTTGCTATTTTTTTCTTCTGTTTTGTTTTGTTTCCTCTTTCTTGTGGTTCCTTCTATTGGTTCTAATTCTTCCTCACAACATGACTAATATGAAAATATGTTTAATAAGAATGTATATGTATATGTATAGCCTATATGGGGAGGGAGGGGGGGAGGGAAAGGGAGAATTTAAAACTCAAAAGCTTATGGAAGTGATTGTTGATAAATCAAAATAAATTAATAAAAAGATAAAAAAAGTTTAGCTGAGAAAATAAACAAGAAATAAAGGATAATAGTTAATGGGGATGGTGGGATCTAGTGAAGACTTTTTTTTTTGAGGATAGGTATATTTGTAGGTAGCAGGAAAAGAACTAGCAGATAGAGACTGGAGATTACTGGATGATATTTGGAAGAATAACCTGCTGGAGAAGGTGATCAAAGATTCACATAGAGGGGTTGGACTCAGAAAGGAGAAGAGCCAATTCTTCATCAGAAACTGGAGTAAAAGGAAAAATAGAATGAGATGATTGATGTCAGATGAATGTGAGAAGGGAGGAAATGAAGAGGGAACTCATGGCACATGACCTTAATTTTTCTTAGTGAAACGTGAGATAAGGCCCATAGCTGAGAGTGGGTGGAGGAGGCTTGAAGAGAGAAGTTTCAGAACAGTTGATGTGAATGAGTAGTATAGAGAATCTGATAGGGTGCTTAGGTGCTTGTGTTTGTACTTGGACCCCAATTTCTCCCTAGTCTCAGAAACACTGTCTCTGACAATCACTCCCTAGCCCAAGGACACTGTGCCTAGCAATCACTCATGCATGGGCCCCAGTAAGACCCTTATCTCTCTCCCTGGTGCAGCTACACAAAGCTGGGTGAGAGAGTGCTGGGCTGCTCAGGCCCCAGCCCTCAGATCATGTCTCTGGAAGCCTCCCAATTCCTTAGTAAGTTCCTGTCTTGTGAGAAAGCTTTCCCTTGTTGCAGAGCATTCTCTCATCAAGACAGAGGGAGAGGGTTGCCTTGCCCATCCCAAGGAGTTTTGTCCTTGGTTGGCCCAAGGACTCTTCCTCCTGCCAGACTCCCAAGATCCATACCTCTGTCATCTCCCTCCCTGTCTGGTATACTCCCTGTACTTTCCCATCCATAGCTCCCAAAGACACCTGGACCTTTGGATTACCTAATCGGTGTCCCTGGCATTACTTTCTCATGCCCTTTTCCATATAAACCCTAGTTCTATCCTCGGTCTTTTGCAGATTCCTTAAGAATCCTTGCCTGCTGAGAAGCGTAACAATAAATCTTTGCCACCTTGACTTAAAGAATGCTTGAGTCCGTGAATTCATTCCAGACAACCCCATTCTGACTCCAGTCTTTGAGGGGTCTCAACCTCTCAGACCTCAACAAATCCATTAGGAAGATTACATTAATTCAGAGGAGTAAAAGGATTGCCTTGCTGGAGTAAGAGCTAATTAAGTGACTTGCCTGAGTCCCATGGGTAACTAGGAGTAGTATAGTAGTGTATTTGAATCCTGGCATCTTGTGACTCCAAATCCAGATTCCTTCCCACTATACCACTCTGCCATCAACATGTGCACAAAAAGATAGCCAACAATACCAGATAAGGATGTTGCAGAGGAGATACATGGTATCACAGATTTAGAGCTGGTGGGGTACTTTGAGCTCATCTGGTTTGCATTATACAAAAGAAGACTGAGGCCTAGAGAGGTGACAGGTAGTAAGCAATAGAGGCAGGAATCTGGCCCAGTTCTTCTGAATGTTAACACCCTTTTGGAGATAGCTCTGCAGGCAGAGCAGTCTCCAAAGGGCATTAAGTGACTATTAATACTGTTAATCTTTCCATTTTACCACACTGCTTCATGCTTCAGACTAGATGGATTGGACTAGAGGACCCTTCCAGTTCCTTCCTTTTTTATGGATTCAATGATTTTAAGTTCTAAATCAGTGATAAAGACAAGCACTTATTAAGTACCTAGTATGAGGCAGTACTATGCTAAGCACTTTACAAATATCAACTCATTGGGGGCAGCTAGGTGGCACAGTGGATAGAATACTGGCCCTGGATTCAGGAGGACCTGAGTTCAAATTTGGCCTCAGATACATAATACTTACTAGCTGTGTGACCCTGGGCAAGTCACTTAACCCCATTGCCTAGCTAAAAAAACCCAAAAAACCAAATATCAACTCATTTCAACCTCAAAACAACCCTGTGAGGTAGGTGCTATGTTATCCTCATTTTACAGGTGAGAAAACTGAGGCAGAGGTTAAGTGACTTGCCCAAGGCTACACAGCTAGCATGTGTCTGAGGCTGGGTTTGAATTCAGGTCTTCCTGACTCCAAGCACAGTGCTCTCTCTATTGTCACTTAACTGCCTGAATAGAATAAGTACTTATTCTCATATTTTGTGAGGTCAGTACAGTAATTAATAACAATAATACCTCATAATATACATTAGTGCTTTTAGATTTACACAAGGCTACTTATTATCTATGAGGTGTCTGATTAGAAAAGATGTATCAGTTATGAACAGATGAAGGATACCATGGAGTGAGAGTGAAGCATGATGGATGGATATCCCCCTTCCCACACTGTCTATACCAGCCTAATTGCTACTCCTAGAACTTAGTGCTTCATCTCTTGCCTCTATGCCTTTGCATGGGCTGTGTACCCCACTCTATGACTGCAATGCACTCCTTTTTACCCCTGCCTCTGGGAATCCTTAGATTCCTTCAAGGTTCAGCTCAGGGGCCTCTTCCTATGGATAGCTTTTTGGGACCCAAGTAACTGTTAGTTTTGTCTCTCTTCTCAGTAAGTATGCATATAATTATGTTTCGTGTCACATCACATCTCTCAGGATCAAAGCTCTTTGAAAGCAGAGAAACTTTGTGTCTCCATCGTGAAGAGTGGTACCTCACACAAAGAGACAGGGACAGGGAGAGGACCTGTGATTTCGCTGGTCTAAGGACCTCTGAGGAAAAGAAATTCCCTCTACCAAAGCAAGTTTGCATCTCTCCTGTGACTTAAAGTCTTAGAAAGTTGCCTGTGACCTGCACAAAATAAAGACTCAATGCATTTTTATTCAATTGAATTTAAGGAACAACCAGTTTCTAGTCCCTGGAAAGTATAATGGCCAAAGATGTCTTTTTTTTTTCTTTTCTCCCATAGCAATTCTTAAAAAGTTACTAATTTTATTTGAATCAATATACAAAGAACTCCATGTAAGTAAGAGTGGAATTCTTATCATTTCTCTCATTTTCAACCATGCACCAACAAAACAGGTCTCCTCTAGCACATTTTATTTAAATTTTAAAATTCATGATTCTATTCAGGATCTGAGAGGATGGCATTTGCAGTTGGTGTAGCTTATTGAAATAATGGATTCTTGAAGTGTTGAAATGAGGAAGTGAGTAGAACAAAATACAGATTGGCCTCAATCGGCTAGATATTTTGGGTCAAAATGTAACTGCTTTTAACTGGTATCAGAAAATAGGAAGTCAAATTATTTGAGTAATTTGCTTATTCCAAATTTGGTTTTTAGCTTACTGGGTGGGATACATGTTATCCCACTGCTATCATTACTTGTGTGATCTTAGCAAGTCATTTAACTATTCTGAACCTCAGTTTGCTCATAGGTAAACTGAGGGAGGGGGCCTAGAGTCCTCTGAGGTCTCTCCTAGCTCTGAGTCTCTGATCCTGTGATTGCATTGCCTCTGAGGTCTCATCCAGCTCGAGGTCTTTGCTTCTTTTGTCAACTTGGACCTTCCCATCAAGAAGCTTATACTCTAAAAAGATACATGCTTTTATATCTGGGGCTCTTTCCAAAACATTTAAAACAAGTAAATTGTTCTTTGTCTTCAAAGACCTACTTAAGTTTCTCTAAAGTATGTTGCATATTCCTTTCCCCTCTCCCCCTTTTATCTGTTCATGTTCTACCTTCTTTTTCTATGATAACCTTTCCTCTTGCAAGGTCTTTTAAGGTCCTTCACTCTGTGTGATAACAAGTCTATTCCCCTACTTTGTTCTCTCTCATTTCCTCCCCTACCAAAACACTACGTGATCTCAGTGAAACCTTGTTCATTTTCCAGCAGCTTCTTCCTCTCATTCCATGCCAAAAAGATATGTTCTTATCTTTTCCTTAAAATAACCTCCAAGTTCCCCTAGGACCCCATAAAGGAGTTTTTGACTAGGTGGCAAATTTGGGGCAGGTTGGCATAGTGGATAGAGAGCTAGACTTGAATCTAGGAAGACCTGGGTTCAAGTCCTGCTTCTGACACATACTGGCTGTGTGACCCTGGCTGAATCATTTAACCTCTGTGTGCCCCTAGAACACTCTCTAAGATTGCAATGCTAGTGTTGATCTACGTTGCCAGAGAGAGGTTTCCTATTGGATAGTTCTGTGTACCAATAAAACCTCAGGTTTTCTCCACACGAAAACAAAAACAAACAAAACCAACCCTACAAAAAATTCACGTGTAACTATTGTGTGCTTACCATGTAATGTTATTTGTTAGAGCTTTCTGTCTTAATATCCCCTTAATAATCTTATCCCCTTAATAACTGTCAGCTCCTGAACTTAAGATTCCTGAAATAGGAATCCAATGTCTGTCTCTACCTACTCTTTCTTCTACCAAAGGCACTGTCTAGCCCTGGTATTCTCCACACATAGTAGGTACTTAATAAATGCTTATTGAATGAGTAACCAAACTCTGTTGGCTGTACTTAATGTTTCTAGTGAATACTCTTATTACCTGTGTGACCTAGGGCAAGTTACTTTAATCTCTGCTTGCCTCAGTTTCCTCATTTGTAAAATGAGGTAATAATAGTACCTTCCTCCCTTGTTGTGAGGATCAAATGAGATAATTATAAAGTGCTTAGCTCAGTGCTCACCATATATTAAGTGCTATAGAAATGTTAGTTATTATTATTATTACTACCACAATGATTGTGGACTGCGTGGTGTCTCAGTCCTCCCCTTGGGAAGTAACATACAGCTCAGCTTTGAGAAAAGGAAAACATAAATATAAACACCAAACACTGTGCCTCATCTCCCCATAGTCCTCTGGACCTCAGCTTTGGTGGCACCATCTGTAGTCTCTTGACTGACATGGGGACAATGATTCTGGTTCTGATGAGCTTTGCTCCAATGGGAGAATATAATTCTTTGTATTTTCAGCTCAATATCTGTCTGGTCTTATCTCTCTGGAACTTTGTGGGTCTTTGCTAGACACTCAGACTCTCAACTACCGGAGAGTCACTCATTATTTTATCAGCAAAACCAAACTGCTGGTGAACGTGCCCACTTGAAAATATTCACTCACTGTCCTCTCCCAAGGGAGGGCAGGCTTTTATACACAAAATGAAAGACTGTTAAGAAATGTTTGAAACTGAAGGGAAGAAAAACTCCCCAAAGTAAAAACATTGATGCTCTGGTGACCTCTGGTGGAAATTGTGACATTTTTAAAAAGGAAAAAAAAAACTTAACAACAAATACAATTTTAGTTTTCTATAGCTGAAACAATATCCCAGGTTGAAAAGTGGGTATGCAGCATCAAAGACGGTCAAGTCTTCTTGCTGGTTTTTTTTTTGGGGGGGGGGAGGAGGATGGGGAGAGGAAGAAGGGCAGTGAAGATGGTCTGTGCCTGTAATTTCACTGGTACGATGTTTAATAGGAATGTATAGGTAGAGTCTATGTCAGATTGCACACTGTCCTGGGAGTGAAAGAGGGGAGGGAGAGGGAGAAAATTTAAAACTCAAAAGCTTATGGAAGTGAATGTTGAAAACTAAAAATAAATTAATTAATTTCACTGGTGTGGAGAAATCTCATTGTGGACATTCCCTCTGCCAGCCAATCAATAAATATTTATTAAACATCTACTATAAGCCATATCAGAAATTCATCTACCACATAAGTTTTAGAGAAACTATATTGGGCACTGAGAAATTAAATGACTTGTACGTACTTTATTTTTAGGCTAATTTCTTCTCCCACCCACCACCCCCCAACTCCATCCCACCTTCATTGCTCCCTGTTCTCTATTTAAATGAGTTTTCTAGAGGTGTGATTGGTTCAGTGCTTTTTAGAGTTCCACAGCCATAGATCATTAATTAGTGTTGGAAGAGACCTTTGAGATCTCTAGGACATGCCCTCACCTTAATAGTTACTAATACTGCCTTGTCTAAGAGATGGACCTAGCATTTGAATGCTTCTGTCTTTTATTATTTATTATACTGTGTGATATACTATATTTGGAGTCAGAAGACTTGTGTTTGAATCTGGGCTCCTATCAGGCAGTATTTGTACGACCTTGGACAGGTCCCTTCATTTCTGTGAACCTTCTCTCTCAAAGGAGGGACTTAAACTAGGAGATTTCTAGGGCCTCTGTGTTCTTAAGGCTTATAATCTCATAACTTTTATACATTTGCCATTTGGGAAATGAGGCCAAAGAGTATTCTTGACTTATTTTCTTCCTTTTCTGTCTCACAGAACTCTATGAAACCAATATCGGTGGGAAGATAGTCGTCTACTGGGAAGTGAAATATCCCTTTCCCATGTACAACAGAGATGTATCCTTTTAAACAGAACTGTCAAACAACCTCAGATGCAGTCATGACTTTGGGGACTTCTCAGGTATAGATGAAATTTCTTTCCATCCTTCTTGAAAAGCAGATTCTAAAACCCTGGAGACAGAGACTTTTGTTTTTGTCTTTCTACAATCCAGCAAGACGGCTTAATGTGTAGGGAGTTGCCTTGATTTTAAGTGCCCCCCACCCTGACTGGTGGCATTGGGCAAGTCATTTAACTCTCTCTGTGTCTCCAGGCAGTCCCCTGAGACCATAAATTCCTGAATAGCTGATGATTTGGTTTGGTGGAGAATTTCTTTTACTGGAAGTTTTCTATAGCAATAAAATCATAGGTGGGGAACAAAAAAAAAAAAAGAGATCCCTAGTAACTAGCATGGTTCCTTTCACATTTGTTGCTGTTGTTCAGTCATTCAGTTGTGTCTGACTCTTTGTGAACCTGTGGACGATATCATGCCAATGTTGTCCACGGGGTTTTCTTGGCAAAGATACTAAAATGGTTTGCCATTTCCTCCTCCAGTTGATTAAGGCAAACAGATTTGAGTCGGATTTGAACTCAGGTCCTCCTGATTCCAGGCCTAGTGCTCTATCCACTGAGCTACCTAACTGCCCCTCCTTTCACATAGTAGGCATTTAATAAATGTTTGGCATTGCATATATTGTATTGAGGATGCCTCTGCTGAAACTGTTATAAGTCATGAGTCTGGAAACTTCAGCAAGTAACCTGCTACAACCCAGAAGATCTGTAACCTCAGCCTCAGGATAATAACTAGGAAGCCTTCTGAGGGGATTCATGCCCCTTCACTCTGCTTGGTTCTTTCCTTTGTATTTCTTAGCACTTACTCACTCTTCATTTGTTCAACATTCAACAGTCATGTATTAAGCTCCTAAAAATGTGCAAAAGATTCTGCTTGTACTTATGGGCATGTCAGAATGGATGTTTCTTGAGGGTAAAGACTATTTCAGTTTTGTCTTTGTATCTTTACCATCTGGAATGGTACCTTGTCCATAGTAAGTGCTTAAAAAATGGATTGAATTTTGTCCTGAATAATAAGGATGATGATCAGTGAATCAGCAAGCAAGTTTTAAGTGTGTATTCAATGCCTGGTACTATGCTAGGTACTAGAGATTAAAAAAAAATGAAGCAATCTGTGCCTTCAAGTATGTTACAGTCTTTTTTTGGGGGGTGGGGTGTATGTGTGTGTATATACGTGTACAGAAACATGTGTATATATCAGTATGTAAATACATAAAAATAACTATAAGGCATTTTCCCCTATGGTTTGGGGAAGATATTAACAGCTAAAGGGATAAGGAAAGACTTCATTTACAAAGGGGATGCTTAAGCTGAGCTTTAAAGAAATCCACAGGCAGAGGAAAGGGAAGAGCACATCCCAAGCATGAGGGGCAATCTGTGCAAAGTCACAGAGATAGGAGCTAGAAAATCATGTGTGAGGAACAACTAGCAGGCTAGTTTGGCTGGGAGTAGAGGGGAGTTATGTATAGTAAGACTGGGAGGATAGATTGGAGCCAGGTTGTGGCTGCTTTTAATGCCAACTGAATCAGAGCTGACATTCATTTAAACGTTTCAGTTTATATAGCTCTTTGCATATACTATCTCTATTTGACTCTCACCATAGTCTTATTAGGTGGGTATTTTCATTTTACAAATGAGGATACTGAGGCACCAAGAGGTAAAGTGACTTTTCTGAGGACCTATACAAAAAAAAAGGGGTCAGAGCAACATTCAAACCCAGGTCTTCTGATTTCAAATCTAGTGTTCCTCCTGTCACTTGGCGAAATTGTTTACTATTAATTGTGTGTGTGTCTTCTCTCCCTAGCATAAACTATAAACTTCTTGCAGACAGGTATCATCCTCATCATAATTCCATTCAACAAACAGTTGATGACCACCTACAATGTACAAGGCACTATGCCAGGTACCAGAAATAAAAAGACAAAAACTAGAAGGCCCCCTGCCCTACTGGTATTACATAACACTTGAGAATTTGCAAAGATTTTTACATTGATTTTCTCATTCAGTCCTCACACCTACCTTGTGAAGCTGGTTGTCAGCTACCTCACGGCCCCTCTCCTAAAGTCTTATGGGCAGGGCAGTTCCTCAGTAAAAGGCTTTATGAATGAATGAATGAATGAATGGACAAAAGAGGGTGCACTGAGATTCTGTGTCATCAGTGGCAAGCTACCCTACAAAAGGCTTTGTCATTCTTGGTGAACAAAAAGGGAATAAAGATAGAAAATCAGTTTTTTTCTATTAACCTTTCTCTGTGTATCGAACCCAGTCAGTGATGGTTGGGGCTTTGGAAAGAAACAGAGGAGGGGGATAAACATTTATTACATACCTAATAGGTCCCAGACACTGCCCTGAGGTTTTACAAATATTACTTCATTTGATCCTCACAGCAACATTGTTAGGGAGGTGGCATTATGATTACTAGGGCAGCTAGGTAGTACATTGAATAGAGTACTGGGCCTGGAGTCAGGAAGTCTCGTCTTCCTAAGTTCAAATCTAGCCTCAGACACTTACTAACTATGTGACCATGGGCAAGATGCTTAACAGTTTCTTCATCTGTAAAATGAACGGAAGAAGGAAATGGCAAACTACTCCAGTATCTTCGCCAAGAAAACCCCAAATGGGGTCACAAAGAGTCATACATCACTCAAACGCAACTGAACAACAATTATGATCCCCATTTTATAGTTGGGGAAACCAAGGCAGAGGGGTTAAGAGACTTGCCCAGGAGTACACAGCTAGTAAGTATGAAGTGTCTGAGGCTAGATTGGAACTCAGGTCCTCTTGACTCCAAGGCTGGAGCTCTATCAACTGCGCCACCTAGCTGCTCCTCGAGTTGAGTCTTGAAGGATACCAGGTAAACTAGGAGGTGAAGATGAGGAGGAGGGAAAACATTCTAATCATGGGAAAGAGTTAGTGTAAATGCATGAAGATGAGAGATGGAGGATCACATGTGGGGAACAGCAAATATGCTGATATAATTGGATTGTTCCAAATTTAATAGGTAAGCCTTAGAGTCACCTGAGTCTCAGAAAGGTTGAGACCCATATGGGGCATCAAGTTCAAGAAACCTCGAAAGGTAGAAAGGAGCCAGGTTGAGGAAGACTTTAAGTATCAGACAGGGGATTTTGTATTTGATTATGGAGAGAACTGGAATCCACAGGTGTTTACTGAGTGTGCATGGTGGCTGTGGTGTTGACACATTCAGAGCTGTGCTCCAAGAAAATCACTTAGGGGCTGAGTGAGGGATTGATTATAGTAGGGAGATCCTTAGGGCAAGGAGACTGATTAGAAGACTATCTTGATAGACTAGGTGATTGGCAATGTGACTGAATTAGGGTGGTCGCTGAACTAGGGACAGAAGGGGATTGGTGTAAGAAATATTGTAGAGATAAAAATGACAAGATTTGATAACATATTGGATATGTGGGGTGAAGGTGAGTGAAGAGTATCAGATGACACTGAGGACATCTCAGTGAGGATGGAAGTTCTTCCTAATGCCAATCCCTACCCACAGTTAAAAATATCATCAGTAATAGTTTTTGAGGACCTGCTATGTGCTGGGCAGCTAGGTGGTATAGTGGATAGAGCACCCAGCTTGAAGTCAGGAAGACTCAGCTTCATGAGTTCAAATCTGTAGACACTTACTACCTGTGTGGCCATGGGTATGTCACTTAACCCTGTTTGCCTCAGTTTCCTCATCTGTAAAACAGAAGGAAATGGCAAACCACTCCTGTATCTTTGCCAAGAAAGCCCCAAATGAGGTCATGGAAAGTCAGACATGACTGAAAAATGACTTAACAATGACAAACTAGCTATGTCTAGAGCACAGGGCAAGGGCTTAAAAAGAAAGAGAAAAAAGAATGAGACACCATCCTTGCCCTGGAATAGCTTACACTCTATTTGATGAAAAACTAGAAAAGTAAAACAATGATTAATATGAGGAACCATGTCTGGAACATCAAAATGCACTAACTTTGGAGTCCACAGACTGGTTTAGATTTCAGCTCTGTCATTATCTCCAGTGTATCCTTGGGCAAAGTATTTCCTCCTCCAGGCCTCTGCTAACTCACATGAAAAATGAGGTGGTTGGACTAGATTAGCCTTTAAGGTCCCTCCTTGTCTTAAGTCTTTGTGCCAAGCACCAAATGAGGAGTACAGAGAATAATTACAGGCCAGTGACATGATCTCTTGCCCTCTTGGGTTTGCTATGTAGAACATTAGGAGGACTGAGCCTTGTCTACTGACTTTCTATTCTCATATACTTACAAAACTGGAGAGGGTGTTTCTCCTTAACCTGGGACACAGTATGTGTATGTTCGGGGTCGGAGAGACATGGATTTAAATGGGCGGACAGTCCACGTGATATTGGCTAAGAGCATCTCCGTACCTGAAATTCCAGAGAAACATGGAATCATCCGGGTCAGCAATTACAGGCAAAGTCTTTTGATTGAAAGTGATGGCAAGAATGGGTGCAAAGGTAAAAACTTGTGTCTTTCACTTGGCAATAGCTGCCTTGGTCAGTGTTAGAATGAGGCATTTGTTCCCTAGTTATGCGCTTGTGATGAACGGAAAATAGGGCAAAGCTTATAGGACTTTCTGTTAAAAAATTTTTTTTTGATTTAACAAAAATCTGCCTTTTCTCCCTCCCATCTACTCCCCCATTAAAAAAGAAAGAAAAATAAAACTCTTGTAACACTCCAGTACTTTCCAAACACCTTTTTTTGTTTGGTCTAGAACTATGATTTCATCAGTGTAGTGAATTCTCTTTAGTGACACAGATCAGCAAGTCATTTATAACCTAGCGTCCTAGAGAGTGGCTTGAAGGTATTGAGAGGTTATAACCATGGACACACATTGCACATTAATTACTTTTTAAACGCCTATTAATTGATGTGTCTGGGGGAAAAAGAACCAATCCATAAGAAACTCAGGAATGTTTCTGAACCCATGGCAATGTTAAATTCTCTTCTTATGAATAGGTGAATATATCAATGAGCTGTAATTTTTGCTTGGTGTGGAAACTTCACAATGCAGATTTCTACCTATTCCTAATTTAGTAGATATGTCTTAGAGTTGCCTAAGACATGAGAGTGTAAATGACTTGATTAAAAAGCTAATAAGCTTCAGAGATCATAGCTAGACTTTATAAAAGCACCCTATGGTTTGCAAAGCACTGAACATATGTTATCTCATTTTGCAATGGTATTTCAACCCGGGTCTAGCTGACTTTAGGGCTGGCACTTTAAATACTGTAACATATTGCCTTCTGGCTTCAGAAGATTACCATTTTCTGACTCTTGCACTATGTCTGGCCATTGCTGTTCTTTTTGAAAATTTATTTTCTTTTTTAAATAAACTTAATCAACAAATATAAATATTTCAATATATAATAAGAATAAAAAAGATTATGATAAAGCTGTGAACTTGTTACCTACTTGTTTTAAGTGCATATTGAATATAACATACAATAACAAAATTAATGTTTATAATCCCTTGGGTATTTCCTTGTTTTTAATAGTGTATTTTATATGTTTTATTGCTGTCCTTCATCCCCCTTTCACACGTCCCCATATAGTGACACAAAGCAAACAAATAAACACATTGGACTTGTCTGAAAGTGTATGTCTTATTCTGCACCCTAGTCTACCATCTTCTGCCAAGAGGTATTTGACATTTATAAATGTACATCACATATTATTATGATATATACTCACGGAATTTTATTTTTTTAGGATGAACATTTATGAAATAATCAGCCATAAAGAATGTTACTTTTATTCATTAAACAAACTAAACTAAAACTTAAACCTAATTTTTAAAAGTTGACAATTAAACTTTGCTTTAAAATGTTGTTGTTGTTGTTCACTCGTTTCCATCATGTCTGACTGTTTGTGACCCCATTTAGAGTTTTCTTGGCAAAGATACTGGAATAGTTTACCATTTCCTTCTCCAGCTCATTTTATAGATAAGGAAACTGAAGCAAACAGGATTAAGTGACTTGCCTAGGGTCACACAGGTAGTAAGCATCTAAGGCTGGATTTGAACTCAGAAGATGAGTCTTGGGGGCAGCTAGGTGGTGCAGTGGATAGAGCACTAGAGCTGGAGTCAGGTAGACCTGCTCTAGCCAAACTCTTTTGTATAGAGTGGGAAGCTGAGACCTACAAAAGTTAAGTGATTTGCCCAGGGTCTCACAAGCAGTAAGTAATGTTGCTAGAATTCAGACCCAAGGTCTACTTTTTTTTCTTTCTTTTTTTTTTTTTTTTTTTTTTTTTTTGCTATCACATTACTACCAGATTTTAGCTCCAGCATGGTCTACACTAAAGACCCAAGCTAGGTCTGTTTCCATTTCTGCTGGCATCATTCCTCAGGTCCCAGAGTGAAGGTAAGGCTATTAAGGGAATGTGAATCAGGATTATGCTAGATTTTCCAAAATGTTATTAATTGATTGTAATACTGATTACAACATGGTCAAATATAGGGATTTTTAACCTTTTTTTGTTGTGGACCCTTTTGGTTGTCTGATGAAGCTTCTAGACCCCTTCTCAGTATGATGTTTCTAAATGCATAAAATAAAATACATAGGATTAGGGAATCAATAATATTGAAAATAGTTTTGTATACATCTAAATTTATCTATCAGGCAGCTAGGTAGATAGAGCACTGGGCCTGGAGTCAGGAAGACTTATCTTCCAAGTTAAAATCTGGCCTCAGACACTTACTAGCTATGTGATCCTGGGCAAGTCACTTAACCCTGCTTGCCTCAGTTTCCTCATCTGTAAAATGAGCTGGGTACTCTAGTATCTTTGCCAAGAAAACCCCAAATGCAGTCATAAACAGTTAAACATGGCTGAAACAATGTAACAATAACAATATCTATCTATTTCTCTTTATATTTATATCTCTGTGTACACACACACACACACACACACACACACACACACCCCCCTACATATCTTTCTTTGTGTGTGTGTACCTTGGCCTTGATATCAGGGAGATTGGGTTTAAGTCCTGTATCTGAATCATACTAGCCTAAGCAAGTTCCTTAGCCTTTTGGTATCTGAGGCACCTCTCCAGGACTGTGTTTCAGATTAGTCTTGATCAGCCTTGTTGTCAAGAGCTTAGACATAATGAAATCACAGGTCTAAATCAGATTGAACTAATGAGGGTTATTTGTTTGGTTTTTTTTTGGGGGGGAGGGGCAGAGGGAAGTGATTGAATCTGTGATTTTATTAGTGGAGGGACCTCCCTTGAGTATCTCCCTCTACCAATATAGTTCTGCATTTCTTCATCTGTTTTGAAACCTAAAGTCTTAGAGAGTTACCTGGTAGTATGGAGAGATGAAGTGATTTGTTCATGGCCACATGCCAGTATGTGTCAGAGGTGGGGCTTGAACTTAGTTCTTGCTGACTCTGAGATCATTTATAAAGACTAATTTTGGGGAGAAAATTATTGGAGAGTAACCTTCATCCCTAGATGTTTCCTTCCTTTGCAATATGGGTACCCATTTTTGATAGTCATATCACAGGTTTTTGCTTCTGTACTTTCCTGTATTTTTCTTGCCTTTCTGAATTGTTCTTTTTACTTCTTTCTCCTTTTTCCCCCTCCCCACCCAGTTTCCATGTTCTACTATGATAACCCTGGAGGCCTGATTCCATCCTGGCTTATCAACTGGGTAGCACAGGTGAGCCTCGAAGATGCTGGAGGGAAAATGTGCAACAAACATTGGCAGTCTTTGAAACTGAGAAAACTGGTCATCTTCAACTCAGGGAGGCCTTTCTGTGAAAGTATCCCTTGTAACTAGGGTCAGAGTACAAGGTGGTGACTACTGTAGTGTATGTATAGATTGTGTGTGTGTGTGTGTGTGTGTGTGTGTGTGTGTGTTTGCATGTTTGTGCTAGGCAGATCACATACAATTCAATTAAAAAAACATTTATTAACTGCCTACTACGTGCTAGGTACTATGCTAAGTGCTGGGGATACAAATAAGAAAAAGATGGTCCCTGTTGTTGCTGCTTTTGTAAGACCAAAATCAGGGCCAGACTCATTTAGGGCATAATTAAGCATGGGTTGGAGGATGGGATGTAACAACACTTTGAATTGCAAGAAGACGTAAACAATAACCCAATAATAGTAGAAGACTTTAACTCTCTCTCTCTCTCTCTCTCTCTCTCTCTTCCTCACCTCACTCTCTCTCAGATTTGTACAAATCTAACAGAAAAAATAAGCAAAAGGGAAAATTTTGAATTCAACAAATTTTCTGGAGAAACTAAGCTAAATGGCTTATGGCATCTTCTAAATGGGATGGCAGAAGAATATCTGGGTTTTTTTTTCAGTGCCATTTGGAACATTTACAAAAAACTGACCATCTATTATAGCACATAAATACTTCAAATAAATGTAAAAAGGCAGAAATAGCAACCACATCCTTTGTAAAAATATTAATTAGTCTAGGGAACACAAACAACACAGAAGGATCAACATGGAGACTTAGCGATGAAGCTGCCTCTATCCCTTGTTTGATTAAGAGTCCATCACCTACTCATAACTGTGAAAGGCATGTGATCTGCTTCATTTCTATTTATTTTTATGGTATGATCTTTAATATTAAAGTCATATATCCATTTTGAATGGATATGTAAGATAATCCTATATATATATATATATATATATACACACACACACACAAATGTGTGTGTGTGTGTGTATGTGTTTCCAAAGACCATTCCCCAGTAGAAAAGTGGTCAAGGGATATAAACAGTTCTCAAAAGAACTACAAACTATCAAAAAACATATGAAAGAATGATCCAAATCATTAATAATAAAAGAAATGACAATAAGAAAACCTGAGGTTTCACCTTATACCCAGTAACTGTCAAAGATGACAAGATGGGCATAATCAATGTTGGATGGGTTGTAGGAAGATAGATACACCAATGCATTGTTGGTGAAGTTGTTAATAGGTAAAACCATTTTGAAAAACAATTTTGCATTATGAAAAAAAGTGATTAAAATGCTCACATCTTTTCACCTAGATATTCCTTTACTAGGCATATGCCCCAGGAGTTAATAGATAAAAAGGAAGTCTCCATATACATTGAGATGCTTGTGGTAGAATTAGTTTTTCAGAATTTTTGGTAGTTTTGCTGATTTTTTCTCTTTTTTTAAAAAAAATTGTTATATGGAATGAGTCTCAAGAATGGGGAAGGAGAGTGATATAGGAAGAAAGGCAATATAATAACAAAATATAAAAAAAATTAAAAATTTAAACATCCTTGATTTAAAAAAAAAGACTAACTAAACAGACACATATATGTATATATATATATGTATGTGTGTGTATATATGTGTACACACACATACATGCACACCCATACTAACAAATTCAACAAACCTTTAGCTAACCTAATCCAAAAAAGAGAATAAAATCTAATTAATAAAATAAAAATTAACTTGGTAAAATCACAATAAAAAAAATTTAAAATAACAATGGAACCAATTATATACAATTTTATTCTCACAAAACCAAGAATTTAAAGGAAATAGATTACTGAAAAAATATAAAATATTCAAATTAACAAAATCAGAAATTGAGATCTTAAACAGTCCAACTTCAGAAAGTAAAATTGAATAAGCTGTAAATAACTACCCAGAAGGAGTGCAGCAGAGGGAGAGTTGGGTACAGTAGAACTATTGAACAGATGTTTTAGCAAGTAAACTCTATCATCTGTTTAAAGAATCATCAATACATGTGTTACAAACTTATTCTCAATAACTGAGAAGGTACTAATAATCAGCAATTGGTGATATCCCTAGCCTTCTTTTTGTGAAACAATTGTGGCCTTCATACTGAAACTTGGAAGAGATAAAGCAGAGAGAGTACTATAGATCAGTGGTTCTTAAACTTTTTGGACTGGAGACTCTTTTACATTCTTACAAATTACTGAGGACCCTAAAAGCCTTTGTTCATGTGGGTCATATTCACTGATATTTACCATATTAGAAATTAAAGGAACTTTGTATTATTATGAAAATAGTCACCCTGAAAGACTCTTGGAAGCCCCCCAGGTCTCTGGACCATACTTTGAAAATCATTGCTTATAGACCAATATTACTAATGAATTTTTTTTGCAGCAGTGTTTAATAAAATTCTAGCAAGAAGATGACATCATATATCCAACGTTCTCAAAGCAAAATAAAAAACCTCACCATAATAAAATTAGACTTAAACCAGGTATGCAAATACTCTTCAACATTAGGAAAACAACTAGCATGATTAATCCAATTTAAAACAGTAATCATAATGAAAATGACAGTCTGGTGGAAATAGTCATACTTTTCAAAATGTACTTCTTAGAAGCAATTGAATGGCTCCTTTGGCCAATAGACTGATGCCAACAAAGCAGGCTGGACAGCCCTTGTAGTACTTGACTAATAGACCAGTTTGCCAGAGTTTAGGTTTCATGCTGTTCCCTTCTGAAGTTTCACCTATTGAGTCTTGGGACTGTAGGGTCATAAATTTAGAGCTGGAAGGGATCTTCTAAGTTATCCAGCCCATCTCTACCATTTAAAGATGAGGAAATGGAAGCTCTGGGAGTTTTTGTTTTGTCTGATATCATCTAATAGTAAGTAATAGAGCAGTGATTCCAATCCAGGTCCTCTGACTCCAAGTCTATGATCTTTCCATTGTGCTTTTTACCATATTCTGTAGCCATGTTCTGGTGAAATCTTCCCAGGGCCCCACTGGGAATTTTTGTTTCATGTGGCCTTTGGGTCTCTTTTATAAAAATTGCAAGAATTGTATGGGAAATTAAACCTGTTGTGGGAGAATGTGAAATTGATGAGTTTAATTTTCTTTTACAGAGTGGAGTTCCAAACTTCTTGAGTGATATCCTGAAGGCCTGCAAAAAGTACCCTAAGAAAACATAGAAGGAGGCAGCTTTAGTCCCATTTCCATGAACATCATTGAGTGGTCAGGTCCTGGTTACAGCAAGTCAACCTTGGCTACTTTGCTTCGCTTCCAGAGAACTGAAAGCCCTCTCCAGCATTTCTTCCCTATTCATGCTAGTCTTAGGCTTGACTTACAATACTGACTTCCTTTCCCACTCTCCCCACCCTAGCAACAATTCCCCTCTCCCACAGTTGAATCTAGGTCAGATCAGGAAAACTCTGCTTGTTTATATTTCAAAAGGAAAGTCCTTACTGGGGAACACAATTGGTCTATTGTGCCCTTTAGAAAGGAAGAAAACAAATCAGAAAAAGAAAAAAAAAAACAACCCAGTATCCACACCAACCCCTGTCTCAGGAGGTAGCTTCTTGCTGAGCACATAAGGGCTGGGGGAAAATTCATTTCATTCAAAATTGGCATTTCCTTGCACTGGAGATTGGCCAGCCTAGACCAGGACACTTGCTACTCTGTAAATTGGCTTAGGAGAGGATTTGAGATTGTCAATCCACTCTGTCTCATATAGTGTCATTCCCTTGTGGGGAAGTGTGAGATCTTCTCCTGCTGTCAAAGCAATACTCCAACTCTCCACATTTTATAGATTTCTCTCTCTGTCCCCACCCTTCTACTTCTCCTGCATTCATCTATGGAAACTCTTCCTGGTCTTCCAGAATGTATTTGCTAGTGTTAGTGTCCATAGCTGACACTCCCTAGCTAGGAATCCCATAAATCTACCCCCTACACTGCATTCTTCTGAAGTGTCCTTCCAGGTGGTCAGCTCTGAGGATTAGCTTACCCTTAGAACCAGCTAGGATCTATGGCCTGGCTGGCTTTAAGCTTTTTATCTCAGGGAACCTGCCAGAGCTGACTGCTCTTTCTTTCACCAAAAAACCTTCTGAACTCTGATTTGACTAAACTGTGCCTCAAAGTTGGTTCCCATCAGAATTATACCCAGTTATTGGAGAATGAGGAGGAAAGGTAGCAGCAGCCTTGGTGATTTTCTCAGGGGAAATATCTACCTAGCATATGATAGAACAGAATCCTGATTGTTGCACAGAGAAATCCAGGATTGTCTGTGTTCAGGATTACAGGATGCAGACTGCCACAATATCTCAGCTTGTGTCTTTCTTCTGTGTGAAAGGGAATTGATTCTTTGAAGCTTGAATTAAAGTAAACAAACAAATAAACAAAAACACTTGTGCTTTTTCTGAGAGTAACTTATTGCTCTTGATTTTATCTATGTGGGTCCCTTTACCTGAATGAAATCACTCGTCCAATAATTTGACCATTAGGGGAGGCTGCAGGACCCAGAAAGGGAGTTGAGTTAATTGCATTCCAAAGACCTACTTTGAATCAATGATTTAAAAGCCTGGCATCTGTGCACCTTGAGTCAAGTTGATTTTAGCTACAAGGCTCATTGCTCACACATTATAATTCCCAGAATTTGATTCCACTCATCAGCAAGTTTCTTATAAACAGAATCAAAAGCATGTTCAACACTTAGCTCAGTATTTGGTACATAGTAGGTACTTAATAAATATTGATTGATTATTCTGATATGGCTGGCCTTTTTTTTTGTTTTTTTGCTTTTGTATTTGCATTTGCAAAAAAATGATGTCTCAATGGAAGATGCCATCGAGGTCAGTGAGAGATTTCATGTTCCACAGGGCCATGTTCAGTTCTGAAGCACTGGACTTGGTGGTGGCTTTTGAACAGAGAATCACCATACGGGAATGTAATATAAATCATCTCTGTTTTATTTGGCTTGATTTCATTTTGTTTTTTTAATTATTTCCTTAGTTTTATTTTTGTCCATTATTTTCACATCATTATCCCTACTTAACCCTACTTAATTTCTATGCCTATATACACCCCTCTACTACTGAACCCATTTTTGTGTAAAAATTATGAATAATCTGATAGAGAGACCTTACCTGATAGATATAATAAATATTCCATACTCCTGACCTTCGAGGTCTTTGTGGAGAGGAAGGAAGTGGGTCATCCCCAGTTCTCCAGGAATGAGATGGTTTATTGAAAGTACTCGTATTTCTACTGTGATAACAGTTCTACTGGTATCCTTTTCATTATTATAGCCATGGCCAATATTGTTTTTGTTGTTTTGCTTGTTTCATTTCATACAAGTATTCCCAAAACGACATCTCCAGAAGGATGACAATCCATTGGTCAGCAAATATGTATTAAGTACTTACCATGTGCAAGGCCTGGGGCCAGGGTTGGAGAAGCAAAGACAACACAAAAAATACCAGTATCTCCCCCCAGGGATCTTACATTCTAATGGGGAAGGCCACATGAACACTTATAAGTATATACAAAAAAGATACACTGAAGTTATAAGCTGGGTGCCATATTTGTGAGAAAATACTTTGACAGACAAGGGCCAGAAATCTTTATAACATGAGCTGAGACATGAGCTTTAAACATGCATTTGTGTATCTTGACTAAGGGAAATTTTATCTTGCATCTTTCAAAGAACCTCAGTTGAATCATAACTTCATGTGGGAAGGGGATGGTATCCCAAGCAGGTAGGAATGGCCAGAGACAAAAACATGACTGGTGCTTTAGGGCCTATACTTCAGTGTCAAGGTATGGTTTTGTTTTTTTGTTTTTTTGTTTTTTTTAATGGGAAGCTCAAAGATCATAGGATTTAGAATGTATGGACATCTCAGAGATCATTGAATTTAATCCTTCAGAGGCAGCTAGAAGACAATGAATAAAATACTGGGCCAGGAGTCAGGGAAGACCTGAATTTAACTCTGATGTCAGACACAAGCTGCATAACCCTGGGCAAATCAACTTACTCTATGCCTCAGTTAATGGGTAGCTGGGTGGTGCAGTGGATAGATGCCCATCCTAAAGTCAGGAGGGCTCATCTTTGTGAGTTCAAATCCAGCCTCAGACATTTATTAACTGTGTGACCCTGGGCAAGTCACTTAACGCTGGTAGCCTCAGTTTCCTCATCTATAAAATGAACTGAAGAAGGAAATGACAAACTACTCCAGTATCTTTGCCAAGAAAGACCCAAAATGAGGTCACAAAGAGTCAGACACGACTGAAATGATCAAACAACAACGCTTCAGTTTCCTCAGCTGTGAGATAGGACCAATAATACTTATTTCTCAGGGTTGTTGTGAGAATCAAATGAGATATATGACAAGCACTTAGCCTAGCACAGGGGTGGGGAACCTGCAGCCTCAAGGCCACATGTGACCTTCTAGGTCCTTAGGTGCAGCCTTTTGCCTGAGTCCAAGTTTTATAGAACAAATCCTTTCATTAACGGGATTTTTTCTGTGAAGTTTGGATTCAGGCAAAAGGCCACACTTGAGGACCTAGAGGGCCACATATGGCCTTGAGGCCATAGGTTCCCCACCCCTAACCTAGCTCACAGTAGGTTTTTAATAAATGCTTATATCTTTTCTTCTTCATTTTACACAGAAGGAAGCCGGCCTAGAGAAAAAAAAAATCTGTTTTGCCTAAGACAATTCATACTAAATAAATAACAGAACCAGGATTTGAATTTAGGATCTTGGACTCCAAATGCAGTGCTGATTTTCTCTTGATACTCATTGGCTCATACTATCAATTATGGAAACCTGGAAAAGATCTTAGAGGCCAGCTAGTCCATCCAACCCTTTCATTTTACACTTAAGAAAAGTAATGCCAAAGGATGCTAATTAATGTTATTAATTAATTAATGTTAATTTACATAGGCTTGCAGTTAGTGAACTTCAGTGGCAGAATTTGAACCCAAGTGTCTCACTCCAGTGCCAGTAGTATTTCTACTCTATCACACTCCTACACTCCCTCTACATTTTATTCCTTAGTCTTTCACAGAGCCATTGGATTAGACCTTTAAGCAGGAGTGTGCCGGTAAATAAGACTCCCTCTCTCCCTCCCTGCAAAAAAACAGGCATGTGTAACATACCTTTAAGTTTAATCTGCATTTATTAAAATTTTCCCATAATTTTGTTAAGCACAGATAATCAAGAAAACAGTAAGTCAAGCCTTGCTTTGTAGAGTTTACCTATTTCTGAGGTGTAAATGCTTACACTAAAAATCGAAAAATCCAAACACACCCTTGATCTAAAGGAACCTCAGTCCAATTAAGGGACCTCTTCATTTTATATTTTTGGTTCTGTTCAACTCTCTATGTGACCCCATTGGGGGTTTTCTTGGCAAAGATGTTGGAGTGGTTTGCCATTTTCTTCTCCAGCTCATTTTACAGATGAGGAAACTGAGGCAAACAGGGTGAAATGACTTGTCCAGGGCCACATAGCTAGTAAGTGTCTGAGACCAGATCTGAACCCACAAAGAGTCTTCTTGACTCCAACCCCAGCACCACCCAGCTGCCCATCTTTATTTAATGGATCAGACCATTAGGCCCAGAAAAAATTAAGTGTCTTGTCCAAGGCTGTACACTGATAGAGACGGGATTTGAACCCAGTCTGCTCACTGTATTGCCCTGCACCTCTTTAATCTGACTTGTTGAGCTTCCAGATCTCTAGAATATTTGAATATTTGAGAGAAATGCACAGATCACACTAATCTCGGAAGTCAAACCAGTTCATGTGGGTACATTAAGCCAAAAGGATTATAAGATCTAGACCTGGGTGGAATCTTAGAGACCTTTTCTTCTGATCCTGTTATTTGACAAATGAGGAAACTGAGACCCAGAGAGTATTTAAATGACATGACAAAGCTCTCACAGATCGTGAGTGGCAGAATTGGGATTTGAACTGAAGTTCTTCAACTCCTGCAGCATTCTTTCCACTACACCACTCTATTTGCCAATGTGTTTATTCCCTGTGTGCTCATGTAAGATTAGCCTCATTGTAAATCCTTTATTCCATAGATACTGGGTGCTTCAGACACCCATTTGTCTTGGCCTGGGGAGTCTTAAAACCAGTAGATGTTAAGTGGTAACATTTCCAAAAGTATCTGAGAGCTATACCACAGCTTCTGTTTTGATTTCACGGGAATTGGGGCAGGCAATATTGGGTCCAGCCAACACCATATCAAGGCCAGTTCCATGGTTTAATGACAAATTTTATCACCACGTGACTGATGGTGCTAAAATTCCCCCCCCTCCCCCATAGGACAGTTATTCACATAGCACAACCAGCCAGCATTTATCACTGCCTTGGAACTAGGGAGTTCCAGGAGAGGGTCACTTCCCTTTCAAATGTTCCTATCTCACAGCAGGAGTTCTGGCTTATGTGTCTCTCCCTTTCTCTGGTTCCCAGACCAGAAAAACCAACCAAAACCCTGGAATTCTCTCATTGTTCCAGCAGAGGTAAAGATCCAGTACTGCAAGTGTAGTTCTCATGTCTGAAAGATTTATGTTTGTTGGTGTTTGTAGGTTCATGATACATAAAGGAGAATTAGAAAAAGTGGAGATTTTTACAGACATACCGTGTGTTGATACCTATGTAGGATGACTTCATATACCAGAAACCTCCAATCCATGTTTTCCCATGCTTTATTCCTAGTCCACAAAGCCTAGAAATACCCTTAGGCTGAGGAATGGCATAGTTGAGGGGGATGAATAGGAGATGCAAGCAGTTTTTTCTAGGCAAGAAATGATTTTTACCTCCAGCTTTCCAACCTCTAATGGAGATTCTGATAAATCATTTTGAGGTTTTTTTTTTTTAGTCATTGTATTTGTTACGGAGGGTAGATTAGATAGGAGAAAGGTTGGATGCTGGGAAACTAATTAGAATTTGTTACAATAGACCAGTTATTACAATAGATGAGGCAAAGGGTGATATGTGCCTGAACTAGGATGGTGACCATATGGGATAGACCAGCTATTGTGTAAAGCAACAAAAAGTGTAAAGGGCCAAGGAACTGGAGACAGGCAAATGCCTTGATTTTCACAGAGGCGAAGAAAGATGGCTAATTCAGATTATGGACCAGTGAATTTGCTGTCAATTCCTGGATGTTCCTAGTGACTACAAAATAGAGCATTGATCACTCTGGGCCATCATTCGTTACAAATAGGTCTGGTAGATCCAGGGCATATTGGACACTTGGATTTCCACAAGACATTTGACAAAGTGTCTGGTTTAATGATTGAACTTGTTGTTCAGTTGTGTCTGACTCTCTGTGAGGTTTTCTTGGCAAAGATATTGGAATGGTTTGCAATTTCCTTCTCTAGACCATTTTACAGATGAAGAAACTGAAGCAGACAGGGTTA